AATATGTTTGACCAGAAAATCTTAACCAAAAGTATCCTTTCAAATACTGACCTTCATTAACAAAGAAATCATACTCTTGTGAGCAGAGTAGTGATATTTATAGACACAATCTGAATATAATTTTTGATTCATATTCTCTTTAAGGAGTTACCCTGAGTGACTGATATGAATAACTAAAAATGCTTTGAAATAAATGGTTAGAAATAATGAGAAAGTCTTAAAAATGGAGTAGAAGAATGCTGTCCTTTATAAACTGTTAAAATGTCTGGGTTGAAATGTTCTTTTACTTCAATTTGAACTGAGACAAGAGAGGAGAATAATTAGGTGTTTCAGACAGCCGATAAGAAATGAATTTGTACCTTGTAAACAGTAGGTAAAAAGACTTAAATTCAGTGTACATTTTTCGAAGCACACATCTCAGCCTAAAAACGAGCATCTTTTTTTCCAGGGGTGACTCAATCAGCACACCTAATGTTTTCAGCTGCCATTGCACTCAATGCAACTGACACAATTTTCTGACACTCTATTTATTGCTGGGTGCAATGGCCATTTAAGTCTGTATAAATCAAACGGTTTGGACAAAGCTGGCAGTATTTATAATGTCAGGATGAGCAGATGTTTCAAATTTGCCCTCATTTCCATATATATTCTGTTTGATCATGCCCTTGCCTATGTAAATGAAGGAGGCATTTGACTCCACTATTGCTTTAAATTCATTTCTATTCAAGTAATTGGACTGAAGATATTAAATGGTTATAATTTGCATGGTAGCATTTCAGGAGCTTTTGAGTTAAAGTAATTTTAGGACCTGCTTACATCAGGAAGTCCTTGTGTGTATGATTAAAGTTCATTCACCTTTAAGCAGATCTAAATGAGAAAACATAATTTATTCACACAAATGTCAGGTATATTTTGGATATAAAGGGTCAAATTGTAGCTCGAGAATTCTTTTTAATATGGAGGTTAATCTTAGAATCTTAGAAGGTCAGGAAATAAAGGACCTCTTCATAAAACAACTCTATTTCATTCTATAAATATGCACTTAACAATTTAGTGTCAAATTAAGGATGGAATTGGTACATTATTACTATTGTACATAATATGTATAAAATAAAGGCAGTACTTGGAATATCAGTAAATTGTCTCAATTAAGACAATAACCACATGCTTTTGATTTAGAGTAATTTGTTTCATCTCCTTTAGAACCTCCACATTTTGTTGTGAAACCCCGTGACCAGGTTGTTGCCTTGGGACGAACTGTAACGTTTCAATGTGAAGCAACTGGAAACCCACAACCAGCTATTTTTTGGAGGAGAGAGGGGAGTCAGGTACAACCTTTTTCTAATCTTTTACTCAGCAAAGTTGGGTACCAGATATATCAGAAGAAAAATCAATGTATTACTTAGTCATACAGCTGTCATATTAAGAAACCTTAGAAATCTCTGAGTGCCCCAGAAAATTTCAGCAATAAGACAGAAGACAAAATTGTCTTCATTGTTTTATTTCTCAAAGAGAGATATAGAATAGTCATTGTTTTATCCTATAAATTTTACCTTTATTTCTAATTCAGCCACATTAAAAAGAAACTACACTTTTTTTCTCA